TTTGTTTAACCTTTATTATATCATACTGTAGATGGGGAGCAAAGGCCTGTTGAAATGAAAAGAAGCTGAAAAGAGAGCAACCTAGTAAAGGAAAGCACAAAGGGAAAAGATTAAAAATCCACCTCCATTCTTTGTTACACTAAGTACTGGCCTTTGCGCCTTAATGCACAAAGATCTTACTCAGTTTACTTACGCAGTTTACAGTGATCTTCTGTTCCCTTTGTTACTTGTGTGTCTGCTTGTTTTAACCAGGAGATCAGCCTGCAGCTGCAGTTCTGCCTCAGAACTACCATCGGGTTTTTGTATGATGGGTTTTACAGGCTAACTGTTCCATACTTTTATTGATATGATATGCACTCCTTCAAAATAGTAAACTGGCTTTCTTAATGTCCTTTCTGGTTTTATAACCATATAATTATGATGATCTTTTTTTTCAAATTCTCTAAAGTAGTCCCTATCTCAATGTCAGGCAGAATTTTGGTGAAGACCTTAAAAACCCCATTGCATTTCTACAGCCCCCTACACCAAACGTGTTTGGTCTCCACTCGTTCTGTTAACATCATGTAATGCTGAATTTTGGTAAGAATTATCATATCTATGTTTCTGTTGCTATGTCTAAACTTAATTACTTACATTTAAAGTGATTATGTTGGTGATACATAGATCCTCAAACCTCAGGAAAATTGCTCACATAATGGTCTATAGTGAGGTAACAAGGTGGAGAATAATGATGAAAATCCAGGACTTACAGGTTTCCCTCCATCTTCTCTGCCTTTTCTGTTTTAGAGCATTTAAAGCATTAAAATACTAAGTATAAAATGAGATAAACAGCAGGAGAGACAGACAGGAGAGCAAGGGAATGTTAGGAGAATGTTCAGATCATTATCAGTCAGCACAGTGTTCGTCTGGGGACAGGGCAGAGGGCAGGACTCTGTCTGCTAAGCTTCAGATCAGTTCAAACCACCTGAGCCACAACCACAGCCTGCTGCTTCAAGTGGCTCTTCTGAAGCCTGACACAATTCGTGCATCTTTGATTCTATGATTATTTTCAAGAAATTATGCAAAATTTTCTTGGTGTAAGGCTCTTTATGTTGAAAAAACAGTAGAAAGTTTGTTTTCTATACAGTTTAGCCACTTGGCTGTTTTGTAGAATGTGTCTTCATGTCCTATTCATGTTTCTCTCGGTTGCTATTACAGTGATCTGAAAAGGCAATCTGAATAGATACGGGGTCAGGAAGCCTTCAGCCCTGCCATATGACAGTGATAAAAATTAGATCACTTTATTCTGGCTTGTTTTCTTCAAAGCTAGTTTTAAAACCTACTTCAGGGGAACTCTTAAGCACCTCAAGAACAGAACTTGCGTGAGTTGTAGGTGTGACTTCTGTCTGTGATGAAATGTAGGTCAGAAAGGGTGTGGATTATTAAATGTGCTTTAAACTGTAAGGAATGATTGTCCTTTTGTATAATTAGTGCATTGACTGTCCTGAGGCACCAGAGAGTTGACAGTTTTATTAAGTAAAAAGACTTGTAACATTATAATAACTGATTTTTTTTAGAGATTTTGAAGTTGTTTCTTCCTTCAGATGCAGTATGACAGCCTGTTCAGAAAGACTTTCCTTATGAGATAGACCCACCCAGCATTAAAACACTTCTGCCAACAAACTGGCTCCATCTCATTTGCACATCACAATGTGATGATCTCCTTGTATAAAATATTAAGGGCACATATCAATATATGTATTTTACCGAGAAACACTCTGTTGGGTGAGTACCAATGTGTATTTCATTATCAGTTATCTGGTCCCTCAACAGGGGACTGTCCAGTGGGATGATCATCAGACTATGAGAAACAAGTCCTTACAAAAGTGTTATTTGAGGCTGGGAGTGTATGGACTGCATGGTGAATTTGAGAGACTGGCTGTCTTCCAGTTTTTGATCATTTCTCCAGGAGCAGATACAGAGACAAGTTCCTTTGTTCATCCTAATGTTCAAAAAGCTTGAAAGTTTCTTCTCAATTCCTAGAGCTCATTATCAAGAGAAGAGGTACATAAAGAGCAGTATCATTTTCTGCAGGCTTGTGAGGTTTTAATTATTCAGTGTTCAACTCTGGGTTTTCTAGCATCTCAATACATTGCATAACTTTGGCCTGACACTCAAAGCACCATCCTTTTCACTACTAATTTGATCATTGTCTTGTAAATTTTGTTGGGATGTTGTTTGGACATCAAGTATGGTTTTCCTGCTTTTAAATCCACTGTTACACTAAACTTTTCATACCTACTATTAAAATCCTAAATAGTTAGATAGTGGCTATTTTCAGTAACCTATGTACAATATTCATAGGACTTTTACAGCTTGGTGACCCTAGATTATTACAGAGAAGTTTTATTCTAAGTGTGGGTTGTCATTAACATAAACAGATAAATAAATATTTTGGCATAATCTGAGTAAGTATGTTTGGTTTAAAAGGAACCACGAAGCTGTTCATAGAGGTATGTTTTTTGTTAGTGACCAACAAAACTGTTCTTGAAAAACACAATTTAATATTTATCCATCAAAAGTTAACCAAACCCCAAATAAACAGGTACATAAACAAATATGCAAGGTATAACCATGGAAATTATCAGGACAACGAACAATTAGTCCTGTGGTTGAACGTAAAAAGAGATGTAAATTTAAATGTAGAAAACTTTGGTTCAGTAGTGTCACTTTGCCCCAGTTATTTTGTCATAAAATGAAATTTAGAATTGCTGCAGATTGGCCTTCAAGAAACCTTGTCTTGGGGGAAATCACCAGTGCTGAGGTAGCTGCCTTCTACACTTGTTTTATTAACCCAGGGATTGTAAGAGTAGGTCGGTATAGCGAGTGATAAAGACTCTATGTCTCTTTCCTTATGTAGAGCTTCTTCCTGTGATATTAATCTATATTAAGCCTAGAAAACCAGGGGAGCCATGACCTGTCAGTCGTTTCTGTCCTTGGCACCTGATGATTAAGCATAGCGGAGAAGCAAGTCCAGAGCTTACTACAGGAAATGGCAGGCAGTAAGGCAAGAAGGCATTGTTCTACGTTAAATCACAGATAAGGATGGGAATGATTCCAGTGCCCTTTGTCTGTAGGTATGCATGCAACCCTGTAATTGAAAAGGTGGCTGTAAGCTTCATCTAAGCCCTTAGCATTACAGTCTGATTTTCAGGAAACTTTCTGCAGGAGATACCAATGACTTTTGCTGTTGATTTTATGATCTTTTATAATACATTGAAAAGGTAGACACATGCTTTTTGTACAGTCTACATTTTTAAACATTAAACCAGAAGTTAAATGTGTTGGGATACTTTGTTGGTTTTTGTTGCCTGTAATATTCAGCTTTTCATTAAATGTTTTTCAGTAATTTGACACAGTGGTGTGATCTGCAGCTGACTTCCCGGTGAAGGACAGCTTTCCCCATGTTGCTTGTTTAAGATTACTCACTGCAGCTAAATGGCTGACTGTAGAATGACCCTCTAACTTGGGTGAAAAAAAACCCGAATAGTATCTTCGAACTTCTAAGGTACCGATGGGGAAACTTGACTAAACGAACTTCTTAAAGGCCAGGGACTAAGAAGAATATAAACTGCAGATTTGCAGACTCTGTAGTTCTAAAAATAAGAAAAGGAACAAAAGTGGAGACTTTTGACTGGAACCTGACCTGAATGTTACTGAATATCAGAGGTGCTTAAGAGTATTTTGTACTTTCTTTATACGCGTGTTATGAAAAAAATATGTATTATCCCTGACAGCTTCTGTTAATATAATATTGAGTTACACAGTCTTGATTTTCTTCAGGTGTTTTTTGCCAGTATTAACTAAACCAAGTCGCACCCGTGTGGCATTACCGTGGCCATACATACAGATGAAAGGTATCAAAAAATAGGTCCGCAGAGATGGTTCGGGCTGGAAGTAATCCGAGCTTGGGCGCAGTGCAGACGGAGAGCCTGCCCGATTTGTAAACAGTTAACTCGGCATTCCTGGGCGCTGGCTGCTTCCCCTGCCCACCCACAGAGCTCCCAGTCCAGTCACTGGGTGTGGCGAAAGCCTTTGATAACTACCTGTGTACAGTTCACGGCAATCGCTGTGCGGCGTTGGGACAGCAGTAATATGAAACCAGTCCTGTTGGTTTTTGTTCGTGGCCCTGGAGGCTGGAATCCGCATTCCGGATGAAACCTGCAGCAAATCGGAAGAAAGCCTCTTTTCTTTTTTTTCTGGGTTTGTTTTTTTTTTCTTCCCCCCCTCGCTTTCTTCGGCTGCAAGGGCGCTCACCAGAGTTGGCTCTGGCCGGCCGGGAGCTGGGTGCTCTGCACAGGCCCCGGGCGGCGGCGCCGGGAGCTGCAGGTTCGTCGCTTCGGGTTTCCATTTGACGTTTTTCGGTGATTATGGATTTGCCAAAGAGGATCTTCATCAGCGTGGAAAGACTATGCGAAAGAGTCCGTCGGGCACTTCCCGCTGAAAAGCCCTCGCAGCCGGCGCACCGGGGTGAGGAAGCGGCCACCTCCGATGGCGCCCCGCTCCCCTGAAGGCGGCGGCCTGCGGAGAGGGCGAGCTGCTCGGCGCGCCGGGGCACGCAGGCGGCGGGCGGTGTGCAGCCAGTAGGGTCGCGGGAGCGCCGAGCAGGAACCATCGGTCGGATTTGCAGCCGAGATCAGTGCGCCGGCACGTTTGCGCTGGCGAAAAGCCCTTTGTGCGAAGGAAAAAGTTACCGACGCCGCGGAGAACTTTTGTTTGTTTGTTTCCCCCCCCCGGCGGGTCTTTTCGCTGCTCCTGAAGTAGAGTCTGGAGACCTGACGGACACTTGGGCTGCGGCGCTGTAAGCGGAAGGAGGGGCTGGCTGGCCCGGGAGAGGCGGGCTGCCTTCCCGTGGCAGTGCCAGCGGTGAGTTCGGTCTGCTCTCTGAACGCCTGGAGTAAGTGTTGGTGTAGCAGTTAGTAGCACTGCTGGAAGCAGACCTATTCTGTACTTCACGCGACATGGAAGGAGGAAATGTGGTGCCTGATTGTAGTGAGCTTTCCGACCTGGAGAGCACAGCAGAAAGCGAGCCTGATCTTTTCACTACATTTTCTGTGAAAACTCTTTTTGGATTTACAACTAAGTTTGAATCCACAGCTCGCAAAGACGAAACAGTGCTTAAAGCATTTCAGCCTTTGCACACCCATATAAATACTCATGCTAATACCTGGTATGAGAGGAATGATGATGATTGTAATGACGACTCGGAAAATCACCACAGCATGAATAGTACCAGTGGCCAAGCTGACCCAATGTCTGGCAGGCAAACTGACCTGGAACTGGAGTTAGCTGAACAAAATGAATTACTTCTTCACCATTTAAGGTTTGTACAGACTTCTTTGTCTGAATCTGACAATGATGACAAGGATGCTATTCTTGTACAAGGTACTTTGGTTCATACAACAAGTGATACAGAATCGGACACGGAGAGTAAGGACCTAGACACCGATGAAAACAATACAGACGAATCCTCGCTAAATAATGCTGCGTTGTCTGCTGAGGCTTTGGATGATAACAATCAAAATAAAGAAGAGTCAGAGTCAGAAGGGTGCAGCAACAGCAATGACACTGTGGATACAGATGACATTGAGTTACACCCACCAGCTTCTAAGCGGCTCCCAGAAGAGCTGGATGGTATTCTGGAGCATGACTCCAATGGAAAAGACAAAATGTTAATGGACGAGCAGTTCAGTCGCTTGCTTGCCACAGGGGAATGCCCTCAAGAACTTCCAGATGAAGAACGAAGACCTTCAGCTGATAATACATCGCTCCAAAAAACAGCACTGGCTGAAAAGACCTTCCAGCTGCCCGCTTTCTTTAGTGGACTACGTGTGAGGAAAAAGGGACTAACCACAGAGGATGGGGAAACTGTTACAGAAATTAAACCAAGGGAGAATGATTTAGCTCTGCTTAAATTACGACAGCCGGTTAAGAAATCCAGTATTACATCAGGTTTGACCACTAAAAAAAAATCAGCTGAACCTAAGGCAAGCCCTACTTTCCTGGAACAACTCTCGCACTTGTTAAACATAGACGTCTCCAAGAATGAAGATAGAACTGAGGACTCTGGGGAGGGATCTGGGGAGGCTGAGGACAGTGATGAAGCTCAGGAGAACAAAGCCTCCGGCAAAACAGAACCACGATTTCCCTCTGAGGAAATAAAATCAAGCCCCGCAGAATCTGCACTGGACGTCTTTAAAGCTTTATTCACACGGCCTCCCAAAAAAGAAACAACTGCAGATACTTCAGAGCTGGAAGCCATAAAGCGCAAAATGAGAAATGAAAAAGAGTCCTTGAAAGCTGTATTTGAAAGGTCAAAATCAAAGCCTGGGGATGGACCAGCAGACAAATCTGTAGGTTGAACTACTTTTTCTTCCTAAGATCTGGAAGTAGATGGATAAAAAATAATTTCTTGTGTAAAAATTATTGGTGGGGACTTAAGGTCAAGATGTAAGAATTGTCCTCTTCTTTTGGCAATCTCAAATTTTGGATTGCCAACTGAAGAAATCTTGGGGCTAATTAGTCAAAATTCTTGATCATCTGCAGTTGTAGCAGAATTCAGTGAGAACTGGTGATGATAGTTACAGCCTTTCAATTAGAAGCGAGAACTTAAAAATCAGTTTCTGATTTTAAAAGATCACTACAAAACAGTTGCCCGTATGTTAAGTATGGCTTTAAATCGGGTTGGTGCTGCAAATATTTACTGTAGTATTATTTAATAGTTTCTCAATCTCACTCTGTTTTCTTTCACTGAGTTTTTTATTTTTAAAAGTAATATTTCATTTTACCTTTAGGAATAATTTTATGATAAGAGCTGATACAAGAAGTTACGGATGAATTTCAACTCAGTTTGTCCAACACATAGAATTTAAAGTAGTTTTTTTCTTACTTACATGCATATCTCTGGCTTAGCAAATATTGATAAGCATTTAACCTTATCCGAGTATAACAGTGATTCCAATTAGACGACTCCAACTTATGGATTAATATAAGCATTTGCAAGGTTAATATTCTTAGGCATATGGAGATTTAGTTAGTATATTTTTAAGAAATGAAAGATATATGCTAAGTTTTCGTAGAACCATAATGATAAATGAATTTGAGTGTGATTTGAACTATATAATTACATGAGTAACCCTTAGGTTGGGGTTCCCCCAACCCAAAATTCTTGCAGCTACATCTTTGGCAGATATAATCAGTCCAGAAGATTGTTCTTGTTGGCTAAAGGGGGCATTATCTGAATAATTAAATTTGTAGGATTAGACCCTAAAACTGAAGCTACTTAAGTTAATTTGCTGTGTTGGTTGTACTCTCTTTCAAATTCTTACTCTTACATAAAATTAAAAACTTTTTTAAAATCTTGACTGACACCTGGGTAGACTGATAATACCTCCTTTGTAGTAAATTACCTATGGGGAGGAGAAAAGATGTACTTGTTGGCCGTGGCGTGTACAGCAATTGCAGTCTGTGTGTGCCCTTCCCATTCCTGGCCTGCTTCTTCCTGCTTACACCGTTCCCTGTGCTGTGCTGGCGTAAGCGTTTGTGTGGCTTACAGCAAACCTATTTGGAAAGCTGTCATCACACACAGTGAGGGAGAAAGCGCAGGAGTCAGCAGGAGTGGCTTTTATAAATGTCTGCTTCACGTCCGGTCTAGTACAAATGTACATTTTCTCAGGGCAAAGCCAGAGTAAAAGGGTCTTGCCTTTCCTTTTTCCTTGCTCATGTGGGCCATTTATGGGGACACTTTCATATAGGGTTTTACTGTTGCTGCAGTTGTGTCTATGGAATTACTGGTAGTAGCATGTTGTAAATCAGATTACAGAAATGTTAGAGGTGTAAAAAAAAAAACAAACCCCAAAACATAAACCTCTAAAAGAATGCTTGTTTACTTTGGGGGGGGGGGCATGTCCCCATTTAAAGGTTGTTTTAGCATTCCAGTTGACAGTGCAGTCCCATTAACAGCTGCAGCAGCACTTTGATGTGGCAGTATTCCATGGTATGTGGACTGAGCAAGCTGCTGGGGGTGGGGCAGGAATTTCATGAACTAGCTCCGCTTCTAGAAAATTATATTGTCAAATGATGTCTTAGGTGAATTGCACTAATGTTTACTTGTAAGAGGAGAACAGATGGGTTGTTTCACTCTGAAAAAAAGATACAGGAAAAAACCCTAGTGTTCTTGACCACCACTATGGTTCACCAAAGGATAGACAGCTTTACACACTGATGTGAACCGTTTCAACACATCATCGTATATCACATGCATTATGTTACTTTCCTCCTCAGAATTATTTTTCTACACTGATTTCTTTGTATCCCTTCCAACCAACTGAGCACTGTTTCAATCAGTAGAATGAAGCAGATAACCATTGTGGAGTACACATGTAGAGCTGAGCATGGCAGTTGCTGTTTTAGATTCAATTGATACTGCAGACTTTAATTTTTTCTTGCGTAATTTTAACAGCCTGACCTGAGTCCCTCAGAGCAAGATGACAAGACTCCAGGGAGACTCCAGACTGTCTGGCCGCCACCAAAAGCAAAGCATGAAGAAGTAAAAGTAGGATTAAAGTACACAGAAGCAGGTAAAACAAAGAGGTGAAGCATTTGCAGAAATTAGTTTCTGACATTTTTAATCTTGCTTAATACAGAGATGGTGATAAGTCACAATATCTTCTTATATGTGTTGTTTACTGCTACTTGTTAAGCATCTGATTTTTAAATGTAAATGGCTAAATCTGTGTTGAAATCTAAATGCTTGCTTGTAGAAATTCACGAGGAAAGAAGAGGGTTTTTTGATAAATCAGGTTATCCATTTCTAATAGGATTCTGTTCAAATGAGTGACAGAATAGTGAATGAATGGAAACCTGACTGCCTTTTCCATTGCCTTAGAATGCAGGGGACAGTGGCCTGCCGGACTCTAGTCTGGCTGCAGATTTTCGTCAGGTAGCGTCCAGAATAAAAGTAATGAACACCATTATTGCAACTTGTCTGTAAACAGAGAGATACTCATATCCACTCAGATCACTTTTATAGCTAGCCATGTATATTGTCCTGTACAAATATATGAGAGGGTATGTCTGAAGCGCAATGCTAACTAGTTATCAGGTAAGCTTTCCACAGAAAAATATTTCTTAATTCTTTGTTATTTAGACAAATACTTACATAACATATTTACAAGGGGAAAAGTGATTATTGTAGCCACTGCAACTCTGTTTCAAATTTGTATTCTTAAATATAAAACAGGAAGTCCTTGTTACTCAGAAATTAGTCATAAACTGTGGAATTGTCTGAAATATCAAAATCAAACGCAATAGACCATCTGTTCTTCATGTACCTGGAGATTTTAGAAAATACGACCTAGAAAGGATTAAGTGGAATTAAAAACCAAGCTTTTATACTGCCTTGCTGTGAGAAGTTTTACAGGGTAATGCTGTATGGTTCTTTACAATTCCAGTGGATATCCATTTGGCCTTGTATATGAGAGAGAATAAATAGGAGTAGTAGACCTACTGTTTTGTATTGTTTAGTGTATTACTTCTTTCTCCCTCTTTCCTCAGTTTTCTCTGCCTTGATCTTCCTTTTTTATAAAGTGGGCATGATACTGGAAGCATAAAAGTTGCTGGAAGATTCAGAAAACTTGGTTTTGACGGGGACAACATGTTCCTAATACAGACAGAATTGAATTTACTGTGCATTTGATAGGCCTGAGGTGTGGGAGTCTATCACTGGATGACCAGGACAGGTAATCAGCAGTTGACAAGGAGTGCTATATGCTCTTTCTGTTACTCTTAGATTCTTATTATTGGCTAAATGCTTGCCGTATTTAATTTTACCCAAATAAATATTTTTTATCCTAATGAATGTAATTATCTGTGGCAAAAACATATGCTGAAATAGAGAAAGGAAAGGAAACTGAGTTAACAAAAGCTCCAGATTCTACTACTTGCAGAGAAATTAGGTCATGCTTTCCTGAAATTTGAATAGGAAGGACAGACTGGCTTAGAGCCCATGTAAATTGTTACTCTTTTGTTGCTGTGATATTTTGGGTGGCAGTGTCATCAACATGCTGATGGTTAGTTTGCTAAGTCAAATTTTTATACAGACCAGATTCTGCAGTTCATTAGTCATTCCAGTGTCTGGCAGAGAGAGGCATTTGAATGAAAACAAACTGCTGGTGATTCAGTTTGGATGAGACAGAAGTGGTGCTTTTAAAGGGAACAGGCAAAGACTATATTTGCAGCATATGTTAGAAGTTCAGTAGAGTTTTAGGTGTACCGCAGTGATTAGCAGGTTTGTGTTTCTTTCAGCTGTTTATGGATGCCCAGAAAGCAGTTGTTGGCAGCAAGGACACTGCAAGCAGTTGTAAGTTCATATGGTGGATCAGTCACATCTGCTTTTCTGAGTACTAGACTGACTGTTTTAAAGCACTGTGCGCAGGAATGAATGTATGCAGTCTCCTGCTCATAGAAGGAAGGTACTGTTCATAAGTAGTGCTGATATAATTAAAAAAACAGTTTGTAGTCAATGTTGGTCTTATTGCTGGGGGGCAGGGTTTGTGGGGTTTTTTAATTAATATGAAAGTGGCAATACAGCATTACTTCTAAATTCAGTATCTTCTCTCTGACAGTGGTTGTTACCTTCAAAGCGCATGTGTATACTGCCATTTTTCCTCATGCCCCCTCCCATCCAAAATTCCCTCCCAGCCACCAGTATCTTAGGAACTTCTTGTCCAGAGAGTGGGCTTCTTAAAAATATGATATAAAGCAGGTTAATGATCACCATTAAACTGACTGGTCTCAACCTGAAACCCTATTTCTTACCCCAGTGTCTTGTCCTGACAGCTAAGATCAAGTGGAAAATTCTTGATTTCAGAATAGAGTTCAAAAATTGTGTGTGGCAGGGGTGTTTGTGATTCCAGTGTTCTTCCACTGATGTTCCTGGATAGGTGATTGATTACCTGTAACATAAAAAATGCTGAAGTGACTCGTTTTAACTTTCAGCCAACAATTTATGTTACTGTTTTAATTTCTGTGATTAAGAGTTTCATCTACCAAAACAATAGGAATCTAGATACAAACTATAACAGTAGGCTGAATTATTAGGTAAGTATTCATTTAGCACAGCTTTATTTTAGGTTTAAACAAAATACATCTGTCACAAGTGTGATCACATTCAGGGATAAATCTGTGGACGTAAGTCTTTGTACTTATTTTATGAGGAAGCATATAATTTTTTCGTTTGTCATGAGAAATTAGTATTTAAAGTAACACTGAAAATTTGGAAGTTGAAATACTGTAATCTTTCTTACAATTCTGCACCAAGTCTTTGATTTACTTCCTTCATCACCATGCACTATGGCAGCTATGACAGGAAGGTAGGGATATTGAGGGAGAGGATTCCTGGCTTTTTGATCTTTTCTCACCTCCTTGCCATGTTTTTCCTCATTGTTCTTGTTGCCTAGTGGAAGCAAGAAATTCAGGCTTAATTTGGCCTACGCAGCAGACATCACAGTGACTCATAGCAGCTTGGAGGAGTAGCTAACTCCCTCCTGAGGCTCGTAGTCTGGCTTGATGTGTGGGAAACCAACTGAAAAGCAAATGGACATAACAAGGAACACGTGTGTGGGGCTGACTAGGCCTGTTAGGAATATTAGAAGTGAAAGAAGTTAGTGAACAAATATAACTCTGCAACAGGTTTTTTTCATGCCTTTGATGACATCTTGTGTAGTCATAGTATTGTCACCCCCAACACCTGAATCTTGAGTTGTAAATTTTGAATTAAAAGGATGATATTATGATATTTTGGCATATTTTATGTTTTCTTAATCCTTTAATTCCTCTGTTTCCATAGAGCAAGTGACTGCGTTGTCAACTGGCTCTCTGTAATTAACACAAGCTGCTTACATGGTTCTCTAGAGAAACTGGAACTTCTTTGAAGTGTGTCAGTCTAAAATAGCTGAAGTTCAGAGAGTCTGTATTACATTACACCATTTATATCCTGGAAGACTAGAAAAAGGGTATTTGAATTTATAGTTATAGGTTTATTCCATGGAAATATTTCCCATGTAATCAAAGACATTTCTGTGCATATTTCTCTGGTCCTAAAGTTCTGTTCTGTTTTCATTAGAAGTTTCTTTTTCCTCCATAATTTTTAGAGATTTCTTCCATTTTTTTAAGCATTAAATGTGATAGAAATGTAGATGCGTAAGCTGTTACATATGGTGAATATACCTAGCCAGGTAGAGGAGGCGAATTCATGTCTATACTGAGCAAACTCATCTGTGATACTAGATCACATAGAATCCACATATCATGAATGTCTCAGCTGCTGCTTATGACTAGATCAGCACTTACAGCCTCTCATGTCCAAGAAGAGGAGTTTAGACATGAATTCTGCTGCTCATAAAAGTACTTATGTTTGAAGAACAGTCTCCACATTAAGGTGGTGTAGATATACAGATCCTGTGATTTCTATTAAAATTCATTTTTAACCATAAGGATCAACATAGTTCTCGTATATAAAACAGAGTTTAGTCTTTTGCTTAAGCAAAACAGAAATTTAAAAAGTGATAAGAGAGAAGTACTTGACATTCCGGCTGGAGAAAATGTTAAAAAAAAAAAAATCAAGTTGAAACATTAATCCATTTAGTACTTTTTTTCATTACATGTTTTCTTGTTAATTCAAATGTATGTATTTAACATTAAAAACCCCCTGTTTTCTCACAAGTCTGTCTATTCATCATCCTTAAATCTGCAGTGAGGTAATGCTGTCTCTGCCACAATTTCTGTAACAATAGTCTGTGATGCTGTAAGCACAATTTTCAGGGTGAATAAGAAAATCAGTAGGTGACTGAGAAAGGTCGTATTAAACAAAAAGTGTCTAGATAAATGGTGAATGAAATACAAAATAATGGCAGAGGTTTATTGCCAATTCTCAAATATATTAAGGCCTTGGTCCCCTATGCTCTGGGTTCCCCGCAAGAAAATCACTTTATGGTCATGATGTAAATGCAGAGAATAACCAGCTTATGTGAGAGAAAGAAAGGCATAATGGTGTGAACAAAGAGATGAGAGATAAGAACATAATTTCTTATGTTTCTTTAACATAAACTTCCTTTGTGGCCTTGAACAATTTGTGTTTGTCTCTAAAAAGACAGAATGCTTGATGTCGTTAGTGTCCTGAAGGAAGTTGTTGTAACAGTCGCTGCTAACAGTTGGTTTCATCTTAAAATTAGAAAAAATAACTTTTTTTTTATTAATTTCAGTTTATTTAATTTCAGTATGGTATTTGGGGTTTCGTTCTGGTATTCTATTATACATTTTATTGTAATGAACTACAACTACAGCAAGCAGGATATTATGCATCGATTGAGGGTAGTGTTTTTGTGATTTAATGGTCACTGGTCAATTTGATGTGACCTCAGAGCGCAGGTGGGCTGCATAAAGGTTTTTGTAAATTATTATAACTAAAGCTATAATTTTATGGATTTGGAAGGTATTGAGCATAGTACTACTTGGAAATCTCGGCATTCTCAGACAAATGGGTTGTGCATGTGCTGATCAACGCAGCAGCCACTTTTCC